TGATGATTGACTTCCATCAATTGCTACCCTCTGGGTCTGACCACAGAGCCAATTTCCCAGCCAGTGGATCGTGGTGGACCCAAGGCCACAACTGGCCATTTTCGCCAAGAGGTGATCATGGGATACCAGATCGAAGGCTTTTTTGAAGTCAAGATATATGACATCAATCTCTTCTCCCTCATCCAGGTGATAGGTCACCTAGTCGTAGAAGGACATGAGACTGGTCAAGCAAGACCTACCCTCAACAAACCCGTGCTGGCTGAAAAAGGAGAGACCGGGCAAGTCACATTTTCAGTTGTTGCAACAAAGGCCTGCCCACATAAAGTAAATGCTTGCAAAACCAGAACTTGGGAAAATGTCTAACATGCCTTCTAAAAGCTCAAATGAGCTTAAATTAGTCAGTTGCTCTCAAGCCTTTATGTATCTTGGTTGCCATGATAGTGCTGCTTTCTCATGCCTATTTTTAGGAAAAGTCAAAGAATAATCATGGTGACAAGAGAAAGATGTGTACGAGCATGCAGCAGCAAAAATATCAGGTGTCGCAGACACCATTTGTATTCCATGTAACCCTGACCGGGTGGGTTCTGCAATAAGAAAGGGCAAATATAAATGTGTCAGAGCAGCTGCCACTGCAGAATCAAACTTTGAAAAAACCCAGCCTAACTCAGCAACTTATTATTTTTACCTCAGGGGGTAGGAAAGCACCATCAGCCCTGAAGAGATTACATTTGCAGGGTTCACTTGCCTGATCCAATTCATCCCAGCAGAGTTGCCCTGTTCCTCATTAACCTCCTGTACAATGCAGAGTTTAATCTGAAAGCACTCTAATTTCTCAGGAACGGATGTTCTCCACTTAAATCATCCTACCTAAACCCACCTACGGCACAAACCCCCAAAATGTCAAGAGTCTAGAGGTTTATATAAAGAATAGGTGCATTAAAAACACAGCCTGTGACTCACAATTAAAAGGCAGGCTTTAACGATGAACAAAAGTATTTTGTAAATGCTGCTCCACATGACACATATGTGACCTTTAGCAGGACAGTAGGCAGCCTTCAAGAGGCCATGGAACTGAAGAAAACAATGCAATTACTTAACTTTGTACGAGTTATGGAAAGCACAAAACCCTTATAACAGAAAAGCAAGCTATACTGTACAATAACTGGAACCCTCCCCCAGAATAGAACAAAGCCCCTGACACACCCTCATTGCAAGGCTGCTATGTGCTGTCGTGCAATGGGAGGCCTTTCCCCTTCCCCTGAATCAGAGCCTTCCAACAACTCACCTGCTTTGGGTCTACAGTGGCTGCAGGGGACTCCAGTTCAATAGTCACGGGGCCATCATTCTGGATGTGCACTTGCATGTATGCTCCAAACTTGCCATCTGAAACGAGAGAGAGAGATAGAACATTTGCACAGGAGTCTTAGAAGAATAACACGTTAAGAACTTCTAAATGGTACCATGATAAAAAGCATGGCCAATGCTTTCAGTGGCTCTCTCAAGTGAAGCTCATATATGCAGGTGTAAGGGACAAAGGGACTTACTGTCAAGATTATGAAGCATCCAGCAACTTTAGCAGGCTTCCTCTCCCCCCAGAAAGAACAAAATACTTCTTAAAAAAAAAATAAAAAAAAATCAGAAAATCTACTACTAAGTAGGAAAGAATGTAAACACATACACTTCAGAGCACAAGCAGCTAACTGATAGAGGTTAGAAAGAAATTTCCCCTACGGCAGGGGTCAACAACCTATGGCCTATGGAGCCATGGGATCCAGCTTGGAGCCAGGGGAGTTTGCCAATATTACACCACACCATGGCCATATGTCAGGGAGAAGAAAGAGAAGCAAGATCCTAGCCCCAGCCCACGTTGAACCAGAACTGGCTCATTCCATCCTGCTGCCAGACAACATTGCCAACCACTGCCCTATGGCCATAACTGTCCACTATGAGGGGTGGTTTTTAGACTTCCACTGAAATATCTTCTATCGGCTACTGTAGGCAACAGGATATTGAATTAGATGAACTCATAGTTTGATCTGATCTGGCAATTTCTTTATTCCTCTTTGAAATTTGAGATGTCCAAACTTAAGGTGCCGCAAAAATATTAACTGCCCTCTCTTATCCCTCCAATCAACTGTTGAATTGGAGCCTACTTATTTTAGAAATGCCTAAAACCATGAAAGCAATTGATCAGAAGTGATATGTTTGCCACATATATTCCCACTGCTTTACAATTACGTTTACTTTGGGGCAGGGGACAATTTTTGTTCTGTGTCAGGACAGCATCAAGTACAATGGATACCCTGTCCATGATCAGGTCTCCTATGCCCTGTAATTATACCTATGGCAGTGCCTCAGGCTGCTTTGACAAACATCAGCTCCAAGATCTGTGACCACGATACATAACTCAGGAACCATGCATAAAATCATGGACCATGGACTAGACCTTATTCCATCTTGTAGCCATTTAAGTGTACATTTATATCATGTCTCCAACAACCACAGGGAGGGATGTTTCCAAGAACACCCTGGTCCACCTCTCACTCACCTTGGCCAGACCCAGAAAGGTGGCAATGAAGGCACTGGAGGGGCACTCCTACAGCTGCTCACAAGTCACGATAGGAGCTATAAGGGGAAATCTACAGAGCAGGTAGCTTTCGGTCAGGGCATATCCAGGAACATCCCTAATCAAGAGTACCAGGGACCTGATACAGATATAACAGTATATTTATTTGCTGTAACAGGGTAGCTGAGTGCCTGGAATAGGGACAGCAGCACAGGAACATGGGCAACTTCCAGCTACCGGTACTTCTAGCATGGTTATGCGGCTGCAACAGCAACTGTTATTTTTCCATCCCCCTCTTAAGTCAGTGACCAGGGATGCTGCCTCTGGTGCCCCACCTTGGTTACACTACTGGATATATCCTTCATATCTAAATACAATCCTATTCTACCTTGTTCAATTCCCTAATAAACTGTTCATGCAAAAAGAGGATAGGCGCTCCTCCTCTTTCTCCTCAGCTTAGCTGAATGTTTCAGTGAACATATACATGGTTTTAAAAATACTGCAGGGTTACTTTAGATAGCATTCAAAAAGGATTTTCAGTCAGCAAGAAATTACCACATCTTAAAATTTGCTGTTCCACACTTTGGCACATACAGGATGAGACAGTTTATGGTGGAATCTCTAATTAGGAGCAAATGGACACTAAATTTATAGACTATTACTTTAAGCTATCCAAACACCAAGGCTTCTTTTAGTCTCTAAAGCAAGCACTTGAAAACCCCCGATTACAGCATTCTTTCCAACCTTAGATGCACTGTCCTAGCAGTGGTTTTGGATCCAACACGCTTAAGTATATCAGATATACTGCATGTTCACAGAGAATGGAGGTTCCAGAGAAGAGTCCCACTTCTGACCAAGTACTATTCTGAAAGAGTGTTTAAACTTAAAGCCTTTTCCATTAGCCCAAATGGACCATGAAAGTTGCTAAAAAAACACTGAGCCAAATCCTGGCCCATCCACAGCAGGACTATGCAGCCTGAATATAAGTAGAAACACCATGCTTCTGCTGTGCAGTGGCTAGCGGTATGCAAAAGTACCAGGTCAAGCTGTATGACACACTCACGCAAAACTGTTGTCCCAAAGAAGTTACAGTGGCCTGTGGGTGGGCCCAGGGAATAGCACGGGTTGGGCCAGAACAGATCTACGGGAGAATGAGCTCCTGTGAGCACTAGAAGGAAAAGTGGTCTGCAGACGACTGCCATTAGAGTACATGGCAGCTACCCTGCACTGTGCTGTACAACCTCCTTTCAATCCCCACCCAAATCCTAAGTCCTTTTTTGGGTCCCAATTTGAAAACTAGGTGTCAACCCAATTGTCATTAACCCCACCTTGGGCTGAGGGTTTTCTGGTGTTTATTTCACTGATATGGCATGTGTAGTCTCATTGGAAAGCCCACAATATGCCATTATGCTGTATCCATTTATGTTGCCTTTATCACTGTATAGGTTATATTATGCTGTCTTTATATATCTTTATGATTTTGGACATGGTTAATCAAGGGAACCGAGGAATGAATACTTAAGGAAAAGGAGTGGATAGAACTGCTACATCTTGCTTGCTATTGCGATACTAGGGTAAGGACAAAAGCTACTCCCAATCACAGACAGAAAGGGTCACTGGTAGGATGAACACTCAAATTACTGTCTGTTTGTAATGGAGAAGACAACCACACAAAGCAAAGGCACCTGAGAGAAATGGCTCATCAGCCAGAGAAATGCCAGGTGTCCCAGGAAGTAGAGAGAGGTTTCTGGAGGATTCTGAAAACTCACAAAAAATTGGGACAATGCAGAAGTGGGGGGGCACTGGCTTGGAAATATTATTAGGGCTGTTTGGAAGTTGGCGAAGGTCTTTGGATTTTTCCCAGGCTAGAAGGAGTCCAGAGCCCCAGCAGTTGGGGCTGGCAAAATCAGCAGGGAAGCTGATCTCTAAAAACACTGGCATAGCTCTCAGGAGGGCTACGACATAGACATATGAGAGGGTAAGAAACTTTACTTGACTTTCTGTTCTACGTTTGTTCACCAGAGTGCCCCAAGGGATGACGAGGTCGAACGGCCATAAACTACTGCAAGACCATTTCAGGCTGGACATAAGGAAGAATTTCTTTACTGTCCGAGCCCCCAAGGTCTGGAACAGCCTGCCATCGGAGGTGGTTCAAGCACCTACATTGAACACCTTCAAGAGCAAATTGGATGCTTATCTTGCTGGGATCCTATGACCCCAGCTGACTTCCTGCCCTTTGGGTGGGGGGCTGGACTCGATGATCTTCTGAGGTCCCTTCCAGCCCAAATGTCTATGAAATCTAAATCTATGAAATCTATGGACAACTTTTTTTTAATAATAATTCTCTTCTTTATAACGAATCCATGTGTTGGTTTGTCTCCTTACTGACTGCCTGTGCAAAGAGTGATTTCTGGGTGAGTTATATTCCAGGCTTATTCATTCTACGAAAAGGAGGACCTAAATTTTCTTCCACAACCCAAAGGGAAGCCACTAAGGCTGGCAGAGATTCCTCTGCTGCATCTGTGAGGTCCCCTATAAGGGCAGATTGGAGCTGAGGCTTGCAGGGATAAGGAGCTATTGCAGGGCAGACCCTGCTCTGCTGATTAGGATAAGTTGCAAAGACAAGAGGAAGAAACTCAAGGCTCTGGGAATGCCCTGTAGACCAGGTTTATGATATCCATGCTCCCATCCAGAGGACAGTATCTTGCATTTTGCAATCACCAAAAACTGCTCTCTGACTGCAGTCAATGCAGTGACATGCTGGTTTTCTTTGCAACTAAAATGCACCCTGATCCAAAGCAAAAAACAAAAAGATTACTTGCGATACAACCCCACTAATGATTTCCATTAAAAGGGACAACTGAAAAGCAGTGGTTTTAAAAAGCTGCAACAAACTTAATTTTCTATTCAAACAAATAAAGGTATCTTGAAATCATCACTATTCTCAGAAAACAAAATTCTATTCTCAATGCAAACTAGCAAGGCACAAAAAACCCCAACTAAGTTACAATGGAAAATAAAAGAAAATGTATGCAGCTAAAGTATTATGAAGCAAGTGAAAAAACAGACCTGTTCTCATTTTATAAACTTGCAGGAGGCTGGAACATGAAAGGAGTCCCACAGAGAAATGACGTTAGAGCAATCAGAAAGTTACAGCGATTATAATTCTTCTGTACATTTTTCAAACTCTTCACCACACACGACAGATTACAGCACACAGAGAAAACCCAGGTGGCTTCCCCTATATTTGTGACCCAGGATTTTGCTGGCAAATCACAAGAGTAAAAATTTTCTGAAACTATTACAAGCAATTCACAGCTGAAAGATAACGTTTTTTCGATAAAGTTTACTGCTTGACCCATTGCTATGTCCCAGATTTTAAAAAAAATCTAAATATTGACACCAACTTTTCGAGAAAGACTTGGAGGCAACTGGATCTTGACTACAGCACAGGAAGCCTTACAGATTTGGCCTCCACTCAGAAAGAGAAAGCAGCTCCTGCTTCTGCTAACTACTAATGATCTGGAATGCTAGCATGACACCTCTGCACAGGCTGGCAGGGAAGGGCCATACTAAGATCTAAAAAAGTACCTGAAGCAGTTCCATAGCTTGCAAATAAGCAACTATAAATTGTGGGTGAACTTTCATCAGCAAAGAGATCATTGTCACTTCTACACTACATAGCAAACAAGCTGCTTACAAGTGGCAAACCTGTGGTCAGGCAAACCTAATCCTAATTTTTACAGTCTTCCTTATCAAGAAGAAAGTTATTCTCTTAAACGTGATTGGGGGGGAGAGCAGATGTTTCAAACAGCTA